TGCAAACAGAAAACACGCATCACCCAAAAAAAAAAAAAAAACAAAAAAAAAAACAACAGACATTTCTTGTAAAACGAAGTCCAGCCCATCATGTTTACGTGTGACATAAAACCCCCTCTCTACACAGCCTAAACAAACATCTTAATATCCTTCATTCCTATACAACTCAAAGCATAAAAAAAGTCTTAAAACATGCAACAACCATTCAAGGTTCCTATCTAATTCTGCTGTGCTAGATTCATGGCAACTTCCTCAGACACCGACAAACATGTTCAGCTAAATACAACTACGCCATAAAGACCTACCAACGTTGCCCAAACCATTTCCCAAATACTTTAAGGACACTGATGTTTGTTTTCTTTTTAAATAAGAAGAAAAAATTATGCTCATTTATTGTGTGAAAACACAATTCCCTGTCAAGTATCCAAATAAAGCACTTGTGTAGCATAATGTGTGCTCTTCCCTTTGACACTTGCAGCCCAGCAAAGAGATAATATGTCGGGTAAAAATAATAATAATGCAGATTAAACTAATATAATTTTAAAGTATGTTCTCAAAGCTAAAATTTGTAGATTTGACTGAGCTTTTGTCATACGCCACGACAATTACAGAACTTGTTTCCCAAACTTTGTTTTTTCTTTTATCCGGTTCCAGATCAAATAAAACAGCCCGAGTTTATAAAAACTTTGTGCAACAGAGTTTTCAGCTGTAACRTTGTAACGTTATCAATGCTCCTCACATACAAACTGCCAAAGGTAAATTAAACTATGCTTTAACACCCTCTAAGATTTATATTCTCTTCACTTCCTTGACATGTCCTCTTCTCATTAACACACAGTCTTAAAGCCTTTTACTACATGCAGGTACAAGCATCACAGAGGAAACAGTTGTTAGGCCTGAGCTGAGGWGCAGGTTTTGTAACATTCCTAGTGCAGAAAAGGTTTACCATAACTGTTCAAATATTTTAAAAAAAACACGTTTTGTTGATGTCATTTCCACAAACAGCATAATGTCGAAATCCAGCATTTTTAGTACCATTAGGCTAGAACAATATGTAATGACAAAATGCAGCCATGTCATTTAAAGCTACCAAACTGCTAAAAGCCTCCAAGTGATCAGCGAAGTTTGGACATCTTTTGCTATATGCCTTTTCTTTTTAAACATCTGATCTAAAATGTTTTTGATGTAGTGCTTTGGTTAGTGCAGGAACCATTCACCGACAAGTCTTTTAATGTTCATATTTGTACATTATAAAAAGACATTCAACACTGTTCGAAAGAAACAAAAACTAAAAAAAATTGTGATGTAACCGTGTATTAAACGCTTCTATCACACGTAGGATAAAGCCTTAACGGTTATTCTACCTGTAAAGTATGAGCCCTACTTTGCAGTTTGATCATGCTGAAAGAAATAAACCCATAAAAATGATATGCAAAAGATGTTCAAACGTGATCAGTTTGCAGAAACTTTAAACCATTTTTTTTCATCTTGAAATATATTCCGCAATATAAAATTCAGAAGATATTAAAAACGCATTAATTTCTCAAATTTAGCAGATTTTTTTCCCAACTTGCTCAGCTTTATTGCAGATCACTTATGATAATCTGCTTTATTTGCCCAGCTGGATTGTATTCATAACCAAACATCACAAAGTGGCTATTATCTGCACTTAAGAAGATTGAACTAAAATTACTTGGCTGTACATCTTTGCAGAAGACAATGTGTTGGCCTGTATTAGTGGGGAAACAAAGAAAGCAGTGGAATGGAGGACAATAAAGATGACAGTCATCTAGACATCAATCAAATACTACCAGAACCAATTATCTCAAGCTGTGGTTGTGTGTAAACCTTGTTTAAATCTCCGAACTGAAACACAAAAGTGCAAATTGCTACGACTGTCCGGTCTGTGTCCTCAGTAGTGCTTTTCCTGCAGATAATCTTTCATCTTGTTAGGTAGAGGCAAATTTTGGATAAGGTCTATCCTTGTGTATTGCCTAATGACAAAGCGGCAAAGATACTGCAGGGAGCGCACTTGCATAAACCGAGATACTGGGTTGGTTAGTCTGACGGGGTAAGTTGCAGACCCTGGTAGGCGAGACCTGGAGTAACAAAAAGCTCCATTCTCCGAGTCTTTAATAGAATGTTCAATTAGATCAACGATCGACGTGTGTCCCTCTACATCGGGCTGCTCGTAGAAGCTAAATCGTCCGTTGGAGTGTTCGATGCGGGTGTGGAGAGTCTTGCTCTGGGACCTGAAGCTCAGGCTGAGCAGGTACCTGTCGTCTGAGCTGTCTCTGACGAGGAAGGACCCGTCCGCCAGGTTGACCAGCTTTTCCTCGGCCTCCCACCGTGTGATGGGACCCCAGTACCAGCCCTGTCGCGCCAGCTTCTTAAGCTCCTCYGTCAAGCTGGTCACAACCATCGGCCCGCTGCTCTGGACCGAGTCATAAACCCGGCTGACCCCAGGAGCGGAGTTTGGATCAAAGTTCAGGTGGTGTCTCACTCTTTCAGCGACCTGGCTGTCTGAGGAGCTGAAGCTGGAGTAMGTCCTAGGGATGTGTCCATTAATTGACAAAGGAGGGAGGAGTGGAGATAGTGGAGGTGGGGCTTCAACTCGAGAGCTTTGGAGCATCATGTCAGCAGAACCAAGAAGAATACTGTTAACTGAGGTTTCCATGAAGAGGTCTGAAGGCATTCCACTGTCCAGCTCGTGTTCCTCCTGGCCCTGGTCTGTGTGGAGGGACCYGCTGTCCGCCTCCGTCACCACCTCCATGGGAGTCGGGCTGTCTAAGCAGAAGGAGTGAGACCCCTCTGGGTACATTCCTTCATCTAAAGGCATTGTGTACTGGATGTAGTCCTGGGGTGTTAACCCCAGCACCACAGGCACGTCATTTTCATCAATGTTTAGATGCAGCTCACCRTTTTGTGGTTGCTGGAGATTCTTTAAAGACTCTGCTTGGTCCTGAAAGAGGCCTTCCATCTGGAAGGTGTGAAATTCTTTCCGAACCCCATTTAAGCTGGGACTTGAACAAGGAGAGTGGACCATGGCTTTAACCTTTACCTCCATCTTGATGCAGGCCTCGTCAGAGTTCACAGACCGCAGAGGCCATGGAGATGGGCTGTAATGGTGACTCCGTAAAGACGCAGATCTGAGAGGTCTCTGGGCTTTCACTTCATTGCTGATGGGCACAGAGGAAGACGAGAAGGTGTCGTCGTCATCCACTGAGCACAGCGCAGACGAACCACCTTTTACTTTTGCCTTCTGCTTGTTAGATAGCCGCCTTTTTAGCGAACCCATGAGGCCCTCGCTCTTTGAGCGACTCTTATTCTGGCATCCTTTCTCGTCTTCACAACCAAGATCACACSCTGGAAGCTCTTTGGGATTRTAGCAGCCCCCAAAAAGTGTGTCCTCCTTAGAAAACTCTGTTGTGACTATAGGCTGCTGAAGCATTACAAAGTCACCCTCCTCTTTGCCCTTTATGTTGAGGGACTTGCGAATGGTCTTAAGGCTTATCTTCTTCATTCTGACAGGCCCTCCAAAGCGGGGGCATAGGGTGGCTCTCCTGGTGTCCTGATGAAAGCACTATCCACAATGTCCTCCCATCAGGCCATATGAAACAAGTCATTCATACAGTGGAGCCACGAATCCCTGAGGGAAGAAAGAGACAAAAAAATATATTGCTTTGTTTAATCACAGCAGGTATGGAGTAATTGATGGCATTTTTGCATTTATTTAGGTTGTGGTCTGTGCAATAATTTAAAAAGAACTACATTTTTAAAGGTAAAACTTCAACCCACAATTCACTTTATCAAATGTTCCAGAGTGAGAGTGTGTGTGTGTGTGTGTGTGTGTGTGTGTGTGTGTGTGTGTGTGTGTGTGTGTGTGTGTGGTTTCTTTTTGAGAGGCAGATCCAACTTAACACAAAGAGATGAGAGGATATTAAATACCAAAAAGAAAAAAGGAAACAGTTATATCTTAGAGAGGATCGTAGAATCAGTAAATCCAGCCCACAATAGGTAGACTGAGTCTTGTGAGTTTCAAAGGCAACAAAAAACTGCAAATAAGAGCCAGTGTCACAGATTTTATCTGATGCAACTGTAGCTACATAATCAAGGATCTGTATGTAGACAAGTTTTCCCTTTCTGTAAACACTGAGCTTCTGATTTACATTTGAATATCAGAGCATGTAATTACTCTCCGAAACGTCAAATCTGTCAGTATTAAGGATGGTGTCAGGATCATTTTATTTGATCACAGTTTCTATTTTACCGTTGGTGTAGTATAACCTAACAATTAATCTCATAGCAAGCTGAAAATAAGCCTCAACATGTGCTTTTTTTACATACTGAGCACAGCAACTTTGTCACCACCATGCAGCTCATTCTGCCAAATAACACGTGTAGAAACACTAATATGGGATGAATCTTGTGCCAGCAGGAATTGAATTTGAATTGCTCAGACTGAATCTGAGTGTGCACCATTTGAAACTGAATGCATTGGTTTGAAAACGAATTTCACTAAATTGAAACTGAATTTAAAGTTTTGAATTTGAATTAATTTGCTTTGAAACTGTATTTTAAAAATTCTGTTTGACTGCATTTATTTTCAGTTCCAAAATTCAGATTTTTTTGTCACACATCCTGGTCCTTGAGGAAGCCAGCCAGAGTAATCAAACACAGATCCACACATTTATGTTTCTCTTCGGTGCAGTTTCCCTTCTGTAATGTAACAGAGTTGATGCAATCCACCGTAAAAGTAACAAAACCAGACATTTCATTGCAGTGATTAATTTTACCTATAGAAAATGTTGCTTTTACATCACATCATGGATCAGTCAGCAGCATCTGATCAATATGTGATCCATGTAATGTAAATGTAGCATTTTCTACATTTAGGTAAAATTAATCACTGCAATAAAATAATTTTGATTTTGTCACTTTTACGGTGGATTGCATCAACTCTGTTACATACAGAAGGGAAACTTCACCAAAGTGAAACATAAATCTGTGGATCTGTGTTTGATTACTCTGGCTGGCTTCCTCAAGGACCAGGATGTGACACAAAAATTTGAATTTTGGAACTGAAATTGAAAGTAGTCAAACTGAATTTTTAATAAACCAAAATACAGTTTCACAGCAAATTAATTCAAATACAAAACTTAAAATTTTGTTTCAAACCATTAAATTTAGTTCAGTTTAGTAAAATTCTTTTTCAAACCAATGCATTCAATTTCAAATTATGCACATTCAGATTCAATCTGAGCATTTCAGATTCACTTCCTGCTGGCACAAGATTTATCCCATACACTAACTAATAAACAAAAATAAAGTAAAACAACTCAAAAATTTGTCAGTTTATGATTTTCTTTTGCACTCTGAGAAATATAAAAAATGCTTATTTCAACTGCGTGATTGTCAACTACATCTCTTGGCTGCATGCAGGACATTAATTGCACAGATCATTCAATAAAATGTTATATATGTTTATTCCTCTGTAACATGCAGCAGATATAAGAAAGCGAAGAGAGTACATCTTCAATTTAAAAAAACACAAGATTAAAAGTTAATAAACTAAGTTTAATATTCCAAGAGCCAATGTCAAGTTTTCTGCAGAGATGCTGCCAAAGTTTTGCCCTTAGCAAGTTATTTGTTTATTCTTCAATGTAGCTATTTTCACAAATTAAAGGTAAAGGTGCTTTATTTGTCATCAGTGTATGTTTCCACACAATGACGAAATTGTGCTCTGCATTTAACCCATCCACACCCAAGTGGAGCAGCGGGCAGCCATGTGAGGCGCCCGGGGAGCAGTGAGGGTTAGGTGTCTTGCTCAAGGACACCACGACATGTGGGTATGGCGGGGAGTCGAACCTAAGACTTTCAGGTCCCAAGCCGGCTGCTCTACCACTACACCACAGCCGCCCCCGGCTTCTAAAAAAACCTGTTAAGTGCTTTAAAAAAACACTGCATGTGAGCACACAGGGATTCACACAAGTTGCTAGGGACTTCTTGCGAAGATTACACAGCGAACAACTGACAAAAAGCTCAGAAGACAAACCATCATACACACGTATAAGAACAAAACAAACATTACAGAGCCCACTGTCTCAGAAGAGGTCCAGTTGATCGATGAGCATGCACGCATCTAAATAAAAGAGGAACAACTCTCCATCTGCTGACTGGTGAGTTTGTGTCAAACAATTTGTCGATGTTGCAGTTGCAAAATGTTGCCATCAGTTGCCTAATCAGCTGCTCTCAGCATCCGGTACACAAAACAGAAATTTCTTCATCCTTTTTTTTCTCCTACATCCTCTGTATTTAAACCCAATTTGATCAACTGTGTTTTAATCATTGTCCATCACTCACTACAGCAAACAATGTTAATGACACAGTGTCATTAATATACGAACTGTTATTAATATCATTGCAATCTACCCTTAATTTAATTATAAAACTGACATGACTACAAACTCAGATGTCACGCTCAAGAACAAAACCTTCCAAAGTTACATCAGTGTTTCAAGTGTTTTAAAAAATGATCTTTTCTTTTGCACAGCAAGGCTGTTCTTTTAAAACAGCACTGCGGTATCTAGACATCTGACCCATGAAGCTCTTAAACAAAGCTGCTTGATGATCAAGACAGCTGCAATCTGATTACTCACCATTATCTGCAGGAAAATAGTGACTCAGTTGGGTCAAATTCCACCTCCACCACCTTTCATTTGCCGCTGTGATGTAAAAAAAAACAGTGCGATTAAAATGTATCTATGGTTATTTACATATAAAATTGCATGGGAGGGATGCACATAAATATATTCATATATGTAACTTGTAAAAATGATGTAAAAGAAACCAAAGTTGAGGATGTATGCCCTGACCTAAACAGGCCTAGGGATATGAGCATGCTTTTTAGCTTAGCTTCGCTTGCTAGCGTTCTCCTTTTTCAACAATGAGCTAGACAATTTTAACACGCTTCGTAAAAGCTAATTAATTTGCACCAATGATTCTTTTAAAAACGAAACGCTTTCCGGAAGAGCCGCCTAGTTATCATGAAACAGATGCTGATGTGGGCGAATGCTAACATGGAGCTGTTAGCATACTCACTACAAAAAGTATTTTTTAATCCCCAAATGTGTTTTAAGGRGGTACAGAAAATTGTCTCTTACCTGGACACTATAACCCGCATTAGTGGGGGAAAATAAATCAAAGCTCTTTTTATCTGGACCACTTCTTCAAAAAATAAACACGTTCTTTGAWAGATTGCCTCCTTGACGAGTGTTGGCTAACGTTAGCGTAGCTTTGTTAGCATCTTTGTTAGCGCCGCCTTCCAAAGACAAAAATAAAAGATATAATACTCTTAGCACGGGCGGATTTGCTTCTTCCCTTTAAACGCAGGAGTGTATTGGCGACTACTAAMGTATACTAATGTGACTTTTTTTTTCATCTAGGTTGGCTAACTCTTTGTAGCTGCCTCGGCCTCTTCCTTTCTTCCTTTGTTGCCTGTTGAATTGTGGAGGAGCAGGGATCAGTGAACGCATCACATGCAGCGAATCACACACACTGTTCACTTCCCACAAGCCAGTACACCCACAAATTATCAAATTAAAAAAATTACACGTTATTATTTTTTATTAAACCAAATAAAAAAATACAAGCGCAACACATTTTGTAAATATATGTAAAAATAAAAATACAGATATTCATTTATCACGTTTTAAAGTGCCAACAACTACATAATTGCTATCTTTTTCACATGTAAGACCAACACAGAAAACTGGTTGTTTTAAAGTGGGGTTCGGTGGAAATGTTAGTGTCTTACCTGTAGTAGATACCAGTTTGAACAATTCCAGCTTGAGCTGAACTTTTAATTACTCTAATGTGCATGTGCAAAATAGGACACCACGTGCAAATTTAGTACTTTGGTCCTTTATACTTGCTTTTCTATTGGCATTTATATAAAAGCCTATGTACAAATTAGTTTGTTGATGTTTTATCTTTTGATAGTGAATTGTCCTTAACATACAACGATGTTGAATGTCAGAATGGCTGCAGAGCACAACTGAAGCATTAGCAGACATGAACAGTGTTTAGAACAGAGGAGCCCAAAGTGGGGCCCGAGGGCCAAATTTGGCCCACCAAGCCATTTGATTTGGCCCACCAAGAGTTGCCAAAGGGCTGAAGGTAGTTTTTGTTCATGGTGCTGACTTTATCTTTGATTTATTATGATTAAACATGAAACATGAAATGACAACAAGAAATGTTTAGATCAGATTTAACCACACATGTAGAATTGCACGCTTTAACAGGCCACAAAAGCTCATCTTTTATCAATTTATGAAATATCCCATGAGTCTTTGCTACTTGAGCGTATGGCAGACTTTCTCCAAGTGCACAGACTAAAAAAAATGAGGGCCATTGCACAGCTTAATTGTTAAAATTGAGGACTTTACTTTAAAAAGTATTTGTATTTCATGTGTTATATTACTGCATTTGGCCCACAGCCATGGATAGATTTTCATTTTGGCCCACTCGGGGAAAATGTTTGGGCACCCCTGGTTTAGAATAAGTGTGTTTCAATGAACCGGAAGAAGGCATCTAGACCACAATGCATGCCAAAATACTGACAGAGCATGCACATGAGCAAATATAAAAAGGTCAATTAAAAGGCTAGCATTTATTTTTATTTTATTTTATTATTGAAGGAATTCTACCATTCATGCCAGGAGACTAAAATAATCTACACTGAGAAATGAAAGAGGTGCAGCCATTTTGGTCAAACCTTAAAATAAAGATACGCAGCRTCTCATGCAGTGTCGTGAGATGTCACAACCAGAGAATGTGTTGTAAATGATTTTCAGCTACTTCCACATCAAATTTTAGCTCAATATCTGTTAAGCCAAGTGACTTCTAACCATTTATATGTGTACTTAATGCTGATTAGCAAAGATACCGAACACAACTTTTGAGTGATGAAGATCAGTGCTATGGGATTAGTCACACATGAAGCATGAATAAATTTCATTTCATTTCATTTTAATTTCACGTTGGAATGAATCCTAACGATACCCTGCCATTTCCTGCAGATAAATTAAGTGCCATCAATAATCAAAGAGTGTTTGATTTGCCTGCCTGACTTGCACAACTTAAAACAAACAAGATTTGGAGATGTATTAAATTAATCTTCATGCTGTTTTCATCTAAACTTAAAAGTCTTGGTAATAAAGTTGTGACCACATAACTCTTTTCTCTTTCTTTATTCCCCACTGAAGACACCATGCTCCATGCAAAGCAGCACAGAGTGGAGGCAGAAGTGAAGACTGCTGTCCTAAAAAAGATTTCTATTTTAGTAAAAGATACATGACGGAGCTCATAAAAAAATGTTTTAGTTAAAAAAAGGCAAGTTTTCTTGTATTTGATCCATCAGTATCGAAGCATAATGAAAGTGAAAGGATTCAGCTGAGAAAATATTGGGAAAGCGAGCAGATTTTTTAAAGCTGCTTTTTACTTTCAGTGTCACGTCAAAAGTCTGGTCAGACCCTTTAAAATTATATCAAATGACTCAAAATTGTTTTTCTTTCGGTTCCCCCTGCCGTCTTTCAGAGATTGGTTTTCAAAATTGATCTGAGCTACTTGGTCTTTTTATTATAATGCTGCAGAAACGCATTGCGAATGGATTGTTTTCTTAACAAAAAGTTGTTCTTCTCTTGTTGAACAGTTAAATCACACAGATCTGATCAAGTCTTTCATGTTTTATGATTATGTGAAAATGAAATAATGACTCAACATTTTTGTAGCTAAGCAAGTTTCTGCAGGTAGCTGTGAGCGAGTGGAGCAAAAAAAAAATTATTGAAAACAAAATGTTTGAATTAAAGACTAAAAATGGTTAAATATCAACCACATCTTTATATCCGCCAAAATGCTGACTGGCTCCAGAGTATCATTATCACCCTCCATCGTTAGCCGAAGGCAGACGACGATGTTTTTGTCAGTCTGTCTGTTTGTTAGCAAAATAGTTCGTGAGACCACAGGATTCATTATTAAGAAGCTTTCAGAAATAAATCATTTTAGGCAGAGGTGTCAGAAGTATTCACAATCATTCTATCTTAGAAGTAGAATTATACATTCATTTTACTCACGTGTAAAAGTACTGATTTTAAAACTTAAAGTGTAAAAGTAAAAGTAATGTAAGGAGACAAAGGTTTAGGCTGCATCACAAG